TTTTTTTTTTTTTCTGTAAAAAATCTGCTTTCTTTTCTGATCCTGATCTGCTCATGATGTAGCGTGTATTGTTTCTCGTATAATTTATATCTATGGTGCATATTCTTTCTCTGGTTTTCATCACCATATCTGCAGTTTTGGTCTTATAGAATAGATTAGAGTTTGTGGACAGTTTTCTTTTTAGTGATTTTAACAACAAAATATTGTTCTGAATTTCTGACCATACAGGGAGCAGACCTCGTCCTGTTGGAAAAAGGACGCCAAGATTCCCCATTTCCTTGCCATATGACACTATGAGCGAAGATAAATATTTTTCTCCAACCAGGAAAGGGTTGCAACTGAATGCTAATGCTGATGATGATGAAGTAGCTCACGAAATTGCCATAGCTTTGGCAGAGGCTTCACAAAGAGGTGGCTCTCCCCAGGTTTCTGGAACCCCAAATAAAAGAGCTGAGAGTGTCATGTCATCGCCAATTAGGCATAGTCAAAGAAAGGTTATCATTGAACCTTATTTACTGAACATTATATTCTTTTACTCAACTTATGGAACTGCTTTTGGTTACAGAACTATTTAGCTGAAATGGCCAACACGAAACTCTTGTCTGCCGACATGGATGAAGAGGATTTAGAAGGGAGCACAGAAGCTGACACGGGCGAGCTGTTCAAGTATAAGTCCAATGCAGTGGAATCTGTAAGCCCTGGTACAACAAGACAGAAAGGGAGAAAACTTAAAGGGAAGAAATTTGAAATCGAAAATAACGATGATCGTCACCTGGATGACACCAAGGAAGAGTGTAGTGGAACAGAGGAAGATCAAAAGTCAGGGGTAATCAGAGGCAAGTTTGATTTAGAGGCCAACAACACCAACATCTCGAGATCGCCCACGCAGAGCCAGAGAAAGAAGAGCAAAAAGGTTCTCTTTGGAAAAGGTGTGGCTAATCTTTGCATTTCTTTCTATGTCAAGCTTCAATCCCTGTTTCTGTAATCATGATGTAACTCAGATCATGAAACCGTTTCCCGTATGCTTTTATCAACATAAAATTTCCAATTGCGTGAGTATATCTGAAATATAACGTCATTTCTGTGCTCCTCAATTGATTGTTTTATGACACTAGGAGCTGATGTGCCCATAAAGTTGCTTGTTTCTAACTTTATAATATTCAAGTTTCGAAGTATGGTTGTTGTTGTTGTTTTTTTTTTTATTTATTTCTTCTCTGGTAGCCCATTAATCTTTACACAGCAGATATATGGTACAGTAGACGGAGTGTTAACTTACAAGTTAATAAATTCATTTGTGAATTACCTTTTGATTATGCAGGTATTTCATGCTCTAATTTAACTGAGTTTCTGGCCCTTGAGTAGTTGAATATGTGATTATATGGGCTACTATCCTTTTTTTGTCTTTATTTATGTGCTTGCTGGGGCTCCACTTGTACTTGTAACTGAATATGCTCTTTTAGTCCACTGTAATTAAGATGAAGCCACACTCGATCTTTGTAGATGAAGAACCTGCTTTTGATGCTTTGCAAGCTCTAGCTGATTTGTCACTCATGCTGCCAATGGAAAATGAAGATGGTACGTAATACATGTCCACCTTTCAATTTAAATAAAACCTGCATGGGCTAAAATTTACTGCATATATCTCGATTTAGTTCAGTTGTTACTTTCTCACGCAACAGCTCGAACATGCATTATTATCAACTATTTTCCTATTTATCAGAGTCAAGGGTGCTGTTTAAAGAAGAACCTGATGATCTTGTTGATGAGTCTGTGCCATTAGAATCCCAGCCAGCAAACCAGCCCAGAGAAAAACGCAAATCTACAGGTGTAAAAATGAAAGGGCATCTATCAAGTTTTGGAGCTGCTTCTAGCAAAAGATCAAAACCTGGAAAAAGTTCAGCTTTAGATGCTTTCTCTGTTCCTGAAGAAAACCAGGATTCTATTCAATCCAACACCAATAAAGTAAGGAGAAAACAGAAGGTGCAAGTGTCTAAGGTGAGAAGTAATATATTATCATTTTTGCTGTTTATCATCATCATGAATATGATGGTAGCTTACTTGAATGTATGTGTGTGTGTGTGTGTGTGTGCAGAATGCAAAACCTGAATCTCATGGTGATATTCTTGTTAGTGGATCTCCGGGAACCGAGGTACTTCACTCTTTTGTCGTTTATGTTATTATTGATGTTGTTATGTGAAATCTAACAACGATAATCACAAAGATTAAGTAAATAGAAAGCTGAAAATTAGCTTAACGTTTGTATTCGAAGTCGGGTTTTAGTACAAGAGGTCGGTTTTATCTGTAACCGAGTTGTCTTATGAGTGCATTTAATGTGTCGGAAAAACGATCCTCATGCAGGAATAAATGCTGCTATTTATAGTAATTTATGGCTCGTCTTTTGAGACTGGTTTGGCGGCATTAAATGTGATTTAATGGCCTAGGGGCAGCTAGCCTGCACGTGGTCCCACAAATAATGATGAAGGCATGGGCGGCTGACTGACAGGCGTCCCATCTCTCTTATCCTGCCATGATCTAGGTTCTTCATGTAGGTCGGTCCTCGTTCCATTGAAGAGGTCGGTTCTCATGTCGGTTCATGTCGAGTTCCCGAAATTATTCTGCTAAGTCAGTTTTTCTTCTTATCTTTAACATTCAGTTGGGCCTTATGATAGATCTCCCACGTGGCGTCCTCTGATTGGGCTAATCAGGTCGGTTATTAACATAGAAGCTTCCGAAATTAGAAGGCACATTAGTAGCGGTGACTTCTGATGTCGTTATCATTCCTTAAGCCGACCTGAAATACTTAACGTGAAAACTGAATCGAACTGATCTCAATCAATGTTCTCAAATGTGAAGCGATGTGTCGGTTACGACGGTTATACCGGTTACGAAAGGGCACGCCTATCTTTAATGCGTACAACGGATTTGAGAAACAATTCTTTATTTCAAACGGTGGTTTCATACGTGTCAGTTTTTGATTGGACCAACAGTTTTAATGAAAAATACGGAACGTCTACACGCGCCGGTTCTCCAACGCGTATCGAAAATTTCCTGTAAATGTAAATATTGTAAATGTAAATATAGGGTCTGTTCTCATTTCAGGGTTTTACCTTCACAATGTTCAAATTCTCGAATTTTTGAACTTCCTTTACTTGTTTTCGTGCTTTCAAAAGTACTCGAGTGATTTATGTGACTTCCATTTCATATGTTAATCGTCGGTAAGATGTTACTTCATTACTTTACTCTTTTGCAATTTAATTCAAAACTTCTTCGACTCGCAACGAAATGGCTTCGACAAGTGGGGAGCAAGCGGCATCTAGCAGCAGTCGGACGGTGTCTGAGGAAAGCTTAGATATAGAGTTGGCGGCGGAGTATTACCGATGGGACTACGCTTCGTCGAGCGTCTCGTGATAGAATGGGGGGACGCGGAGGGAGACGTCGAGGTCGAGGAGGCTAAGGCAACTCCAAGAGGATACTGGAGGCGGCCTGTGCGGCAGTGGTCGGATATCGACGTGGAGTTTCTTGGTGAACCTTGGTGAACCAAGTGTTTTGACCAACGCCAATATGGTTTGATATACTTCTCACTCCTTTGCTTGTAGGCCGCTTTCTTGAGTTCGGCCTGGGTGCGCAGCTTATCGGCCTGGTCAAGGTTTACCCTTATGTTTTTCGAGTTGGACTCCTCGTCGAAGTTGCGAACCCGATATGTTGGGGCTCTGAGTTCGACATGGACCATGGTTTCTGATTCGTAAGCCAATGCCCTGTCAATGACCAAGTTGTCTGTCATATATGCCCACAAAACATGGGGCAACTCTTCGGGCCAGGTCCTTTTGTGGCATCAAGCCTTGGACCATTCTTGGTTATTATGTTTACGACTTCGACTTGACTGTTTGATTGAGGATGGTATGGAGAGGAGAAGAAGTGATTGATCCCATACGCTTCGCAATATGCTTCGAGCTTCTTTCCTTCGAGCTGCCGATCGTTGTCGGTTATGATGGAATTGGACACTCCAAATCGACTTCCAAATGAAGTCAATCAATTTCTGCTCGGTGATCGCTGTCAGTGATTCTGTCTCTACACATTTTGTAAAATAGCCACGGCCACCACGACAAACTTGACTCCTCCTTTACCTTTTGGTAAAGATTCGATCAAGTCGATCCTCCACCTGGCGAAAGGCTAGGGGCTGAAGACCGACTTCAGAGGCTTGGGTGACTGGTTGACGTTGGGTGCGAAGATTTGACACTTGTTACATTTCCTCACCCAGCATGCAACATTTTTCTTCAATGTTGGCCAGTAGTATTCTTGTCTTAGAATTTTATATATATGCCAACGCTTGCCCGCCCGAGTGACTTTCGAATATGCCGTCGTGGACTTCCTCTAACACGTATCGAGACTTCTGTTCAGTCAGACACTTAAGCAACTGCTTAACGGTGTCGAGTATCCTCTTTTGTATAGCGTCTCGTTATTCATAGTGAATCGAAATGCTCGGGTCCTCAGGGATCGAGCATCCTTGGGGTCTTGTGGCAGGGCCTCGGTTTCCAGGTACGAGATTGTGGGATCCATCCAAGTTGGATTTTTACATATTAACTTAACTCGACGTTCATTATCTGATTGACCGAGGTTGACGGTCATTCCTGTCGGCCGACTCGGACGTACTCTACGTTCTTCATATCTGTACTCGATGCTAGATGCGATAGGGCGTCTGCCTGGATGTTTGAGTTTCGCGTGATGTGCTCGACTTGTGCTCTGAACTTGGACAATTTTCTCTTTGATAATGCCAAATATGGCATCAGGCGGGGCTCTTTTACTTCAAAAGCTCCAAGTATTTGATGGACTCTGCAAGGTCATATCCGGACAAAGGTGCTTCGTACACGACCAAGTTGTTAAAGTTGTTAGTGGCTGGGAACAAAAATTGGACTGAATGGCAAAATAATCTCTTCTCAGAGTCCAAGAACGATTCCCCCTCCAACTCGGTTTGTTGTCGAGGATCCATCGACGTACATGACCCACAACTGATCGTCATTCATTTCTTCTACTTATGGTGTGAACTCCACGATGAAATCAGGGAGTACCTGCCCTTTGATGGCTGTTCGGGGCTTGTAGTGGATGTCGAATTACCCCAGCTCGACGGCCCACCTCACCATTCGTCATGAGGTGTTGTGTCGATGTAAAATTTGCCTCAACGGATATGCGGTGAGCATAGTTTTAAAGGCGGTAAGGCGAGGCGAGGCGAGCGACCCCCTTCCGGACGCCTAGGCGAATATGGCGATCGCCTAGGCGACGCTATATAAACAATTTAATATATAATACCAATAAAAAATTCAAATGTCAATCCAACCTTAATATAGCCAATTATAGGCATAAATATGCAGTGCTATTATAGAGGCATAGGACACCACACAAAGTAGCAAATTACAACTATAACCATGTGATCTAGTACAAATCACAGTGCAAGTAGACAAAGCAACAGCTGTACCCATGTGATGTGCTATGTACCCATGTGATGTGCTATCTGCTCTGTTTTATATGCAAACAAATAAAGCAGGGGACCACCACATGCAAGCAAAAGAAGGGGACCGCCGCATGGCGTATGGCGACCGCC